TTACCGGGGACTAGCAGATCTTGAATCCAGACAGGACAAAGCAATCATCCAGTCATATATATCACCTCCTATGTATTACAGGCCACGACACTAAACTGAAATACTCATATATTAAGCCCCTTCCCTTGCCCCATACATTTCAAGCTCCTAAGAACAACTACATGTGACAGGAAAAAAGGAAGTATAGCGATGCCCGAGGACCACACAATGGCAATGGGCTGATCACGCATCCTCATGCCTCCAACAGGCAGGGTATGTCTGTCTACAGGAAAGCCAAAAGACATCAAAATCACTGTCATTCTGTCTTGGGAGAAAACACTCTCCTGAAGCCAAAATACTCTTAACAGTTGAATAAGACCACCCAGGCATCTTAAAAAAAAAAAGTATCCCCATTACACCAAAGCATAGTCCACTGAATCCAGTCTCCTTATCAATGGCAACAAACCTCTGATTCTCCAGAGAAACTTAGAAAATAATGTACACAGCAAAACCATCACAAGAACACATCCAGCCTAGTGTGAAATCATGAAGTTATTTCTTGAGTCCACCAACAGCCTTCAGAAGTCTCAGCATACAAAATCATCGTAACACAGTGATGCAGTATTGCAAACACTTGCTTTCAGCAAGAAAATCAACTCTTCTCCATAAAGCCGTGGAAAAAAGAAAAACGTACAAATTCTGGGGCTGTGAGAGATGGCTCTGCCCAGCCCTTGCCCCTTTCCCATGTGTCTTCATAGACTCAAAGATTGTTTCTCAAAGGCTGGAAAGCAGCAGCAGCGTGCACCTTTCAAGACACTTGATTGTGTGGGTCCTAGGAAGTACAAGCAGTCCTCACATCCCCACAACCACAACCCCCGGCCATCATGCAGCTAAGAAAATTACAACTCATTCATTGAATTCCCCTCAGTAAATATTTCCAACTACTGGATTTTGCCATGGATTTGTCAGCAAGGTTCTAAAACCCCCAGGTATCAGGGACCTGCCTATACAGAGTGACCAAACTATGTTCAAGAAAAGAGAGAAAACGCAACAAACAATAAATACCCGATTGAAAAACTAAATTGAAAACTTGTTAACCAGAATAATCTGAACATAAGCCCAAGCATGTCTTCTTATGGACTGCTGCTCTCACTGACCACTATCAAAAGGGACACTGCTTCTTAAAATCACCAAAATCAACACTACCTGGATTATGTCTTTCCTAGTAGTGTTCTCTAAAACATGAAGTATTCCACCATATTTGGGCAGCTCCTTCCCTTAAAAAGCAGCAAGAACTACGGTACACTCTGAAGCTCTAATTCAGAGCACTATCACCTGGTTTTTCTCTTCTGACCTATGCTGATCTAGCCGAACGAGCTTACAAAAAACACAGCAGAACTTCATCTACACCAGTACTGCTGGCTCCATGATTATTTAACAAGATAGATACCAGTGGGTTCAGTGACGGGCAAAGTTTGCCAGTGCACACTGCCTTTTCTTCTCCAATACTCCCATAAATGCCTCTGTCTCTCTCCTGTTCTCTTGCCAGCCCGCTCTTCTTCCGCTGCCCGCAGAGGAGCATCCCACCAGACAGCAAAGGCCACATTTTCAGCAAGCTACCTGAAGGCTTACTCTGAGGTTGTCTGGTTAGGTGAGCATTGAGCACACTTGGAAAGATTTCTAGAAAGACAAAGCTACTGCCTTTCTTCCGCCCCACTTTCCTCCAAGGACAGTGGGACCCACGTCCCAGGCAGCGTGGAACAGAACGTTTCTCCTGCTTCCTGACAGCAACTGTCACAGCCAGTACAAATCCCAGGACAGTGGCGTTTCATGTCTTTATTTTCGTTCAGAAATAAAGATATTTCAACAACATGAACATCTGGACTAGAACTGTGTAATTGGAAAGTCCGGCGAAGATTTAATTTCTGCTTGGCTAGATGCTTCCCAGGATACTTTGATTAGTTTGTGATTAGTATCTCTCTGGGGAAACATATCATCTTTCATCTTCCTAAGTCCTTTCACTCGACAGACTGAGTCACAGTCAAGAAATTACCTGATGATTAGTTGTTCCAGAACTGGATAGTTATTGCCTATGAAGGATTTCATCTACAGCTGAATTACATCAACCATTTCCTCTTGCCATCAAACTCCCACATTCCCCCAGTACCTAAAACAACGTATATTATTCAAAGCATGGGTTTCTCGGAAGATGAAATGGGAAGTCTACAAAACCTGCAAGGAAGTTTGACTACTCGTAATCTATTTGTATACAGAAGGTGATCAGATATTACATTGGTAGGCATCAGTACAGGGTCTAAAAAATGATTAGCAAGGTCTGCTGTTATTTACGCAGGTGTAGCGCTAATGCAACTGTTCCCTGCAGTATTATTTAACACACTGTGATGACATGGCAGCTTCTCCATATTCATTCAGCAAAAGGAATCTTTCAGGAGCCCGCTGGCTGTTGTGTTGGCTCAGTGATTTATCAACAGTTTGTCAAATCATCACTTCTCTTCTACAAGCCTTTCTTCTTCCCACTTGCCTCCAAATGATACTTTCCTTCTGTATTTCTTAAAATGTCCATGCAAAATCCATGACCCAGCTAACTCCCGCCTTCCATTCCCTGAGTTCACAGGATGTCATGTAGTACATTCTCTCATTTCTGTATTTATCACCTTTGCTATCTGGATTGCGTACAGCTTCTTCTGAGGGATGCATGTACACTTCCCTGCGGTACCTAAGCTGATTTTGATTCAGACTTATCACCAAGGGAAAGCAGAAAGTTCAGCACATTGGTGAACTCCGCAAACCACTTCATTTTCCTGTATTCATAATTGCTCAATGAGTGGCAGATGTGACTTGAAGTTTTGCGGAATTTTTCAGTAATTATGAATGTACAATTTAAATCTGGTAATTAAGTCTATGTTGCTGCATTCTTTGTTCACATATGCTGGTTTGTGGGGGGAAAAAATGACCTAAAATTGGCATACAAAAAAAACCCCTGACTCATTCATTTAATTTTCCAACCTCTTCCTTGGAATCTCCTTGATTACATTTTCCACTGTTCAGAGATCAAGGCTTAGGCATTGTGCAAGCCCCATTAATCCTACTTCGCAAGCTCACATAGTGCAAAACCACTGTGTAACTTTATCCTCAGAAATACACAGAGATAATTGTCACCTTTCCTGAATTTCTCTCTCTTGACTGCCATGCCATTACTAGGCATTGCCCTCACCACTTTCTCACTTATCTTTGCAGACATTCCAGCATTATTTCTTCTTTGCTCATTTTCTGGAGAGCACGAGCTCCTCTGTTACTACAGTCAGTGAGGTCAGAGACTTCC